TATATATGTATCATTTATTACTTTAATGCAGTGAAATTTAACTATAACTCAATTCCACCATATAAAGTGTATGAATTATTTTGTATTAGATTTTTTTTTCAGTAGCAGAATGATACTCTCATGATGTCAAATTCAGTAAATGTGTTGGGTTTATGTTTTATATTAGTAACCATATTTAATGAATCTGTCATGTTCTGAACTGTGCTTGTTCTCAACAGCACACTGTTATTGTTACGGGGCTGACAAGACGTGAGACATGCGGATCCATGTGCAAGCTTTATTAAAGCAGAGAGGTCAGAAACACGCTGGGGCAGGTTACGAAATTTGCAAAGTGATTATATTGCAATGTGGTACTTTTCTAGTACTGTTATGCCACGCAGTCTTATTTTCTCTGTACTACATTTATTGTCTGTTTTGGCTCTTTAGATTATTTCATAATAGCTGACCCTTATCATTTATCAATGACAGAACTGCAATACAAAAACACTGGTTTCATTTTCAATTGTGCAGAGTTGTTGCTAAAGGTTTTTTTATCATAACTGGCTTGCACAAAGTCACATGGGATTCTTTGAGCTCTTACATACTTGTGGCATGGATTTGAAATGACTTAACAGAGTTCTTTGTAAAAAATCTTTATGCAGATTAATGAGGCAGAGTGTGTGTTTATTCATGTTTTTGTATTATTTGCAGGTCCATTGTCTCGGAGCCCTTGTGAACTTTTGCCAGTTGGAGGGGGTCACCCAGTTCAGGCCATGTTAAAGAGTTTTACTGCCCTATCAGGCTGCGCTAGCCGAGGAACCACCAGCCTCCCTCAGGAGGTGCACATCATCAACTTACGAAGAGGCAATGCACAAGGAGACAGAGAGAAACCAGCAGAGGTGAGATTCCTTCACTACTAGACGTTTACCAGCACCTCAAATACAGCAAAGTCTCCTTATGTGCACTGCAAAGCCTTAATTAAATGCATCCAATAGCTGGTCTCAGTCATGTCAAGTTGCATCATAATTAAGCATTAGAACATGAAGTTGATGAATAATCAAGAATAGTAGCATGACCTCAGATGTTCTCATGCTTTAATGCTGCAGTTTTGCAAAGTAAACAAAAATGTGAATCAGAGAAACTCCAAAACATAATTCTAAAGATAAGTTTCAGTATTAATTTATTTAATGAATAATACAGTAAAACAGTAATACAGTTGTTCCTGTGATGGCAAAGCAGGCATTACTCCTGTCTTCATGTCACATGATCTTTCTTAAATCATTCTGATATGCTGATTTAGTGCACAAGAAACAATGTAATTATAATCAATGTTGAAAACGGTTGTGCTGCTGAATATTTTGTGGAAACAGTGATTTTTTTAACCTTTTTTTTTTTTTTTTTACTTAACTTTCTTAAATTTTTTTGGAACTGACTGGTCATAGTCAATTAACTGCCTCACTGATCTTAGGCACCTACATTTTTGAGTGAACACTGCTAAAATTATCCACAAATAATGCTTTTTTTGGGGGTGGAAAAAATTTTATACCTTGTATGGACAAAAATTTCTGATTTTCTCATTTCTGTTTTTCTGATGGTAGCCTACATTTAGCATAGTCTGTGAACAGAATCCCATCCTCTGTTCTGTACAGTTAGCACCAGTCAGGCACATGAGATATTTACTCTGCGACATGCTGTGAGGCATGTACTTTTGTGTTTCTGTACATTTTGAACTTGAGATGATTTGGCTGGGTTGTAAAGTTTTAATTCTCTTGTTAGTTGGTGGGGGTGTTGTGGGTGTTGTAG